AGATCGCCTCTTAAAGAACAGGACTTCCATGTACCGAACAGACATGGCTGGCTTTACTTCTCCTTCACGTTATCATTGCTGTTGGTCTTCCTTTGACAGGCGATCTTCTCTGTCGGTTCCAAGTTAAGTTGTGACGGCACAAGCACATAGGAATTTATATAGCTTTTGGAAGTATATAAAACATGCTACAAAGCGGCATATAAAGAAACAGTTCCCTTGGTCTATCTAAACGGGAAAACGCGGGTAGCAGAACTTACCACTGAATACCATTCGAAGAAGGCAACTGAAGTTGATGGACGTATGGATCGCACAGTGCTGACTATTCCAAGCAAAATATCCATGTCAGATTCGAGCTCAGTAGATCTCTGTAGTTGGAAGAAGGAAGCCTGCAAAGCTTTCTTGATAAGGATTGCAACAAACGAAACGTGCTTCTAAAAGTAGCAGTAACAACGTACCTTGACAAAGTCAAAATAAATGGAACCGGGTTCTCTTTTGAAGAGCCGTTCATATAAATGTTCAGCCACGAAGGGCATGAACACAGAAAGCTGGACAAGCGTTGGCTGCACGACGCGATTCAGCGTCGTTCGTATTTCTTCGATCCTGGCAAGGTCCTTATCCCAGAGAGCGCGTTTGGTTGTCTCCTAAATGAAATTTCAATGACTATCAACTAAGAAAGAAGGAACGCTCTCATGAAAGAGAGGAATTAATGCTGAACATTAGCAATAATCAACCAGGTAAACATCGCACAACGACCCAAGAATGAAGTTTTGCAACTCCATAAAGGCAAGATGAGGCATGTGCTCCGACATATGTTTGTCCACCTTCTCTAACGTACCTCCTAGCCGAGACAAGAATCCACTCATCCTTAAATGTTCAGTTCAGTTTTGTGGCCGACTGTTTTACCCTCAGGAATTCTATGAGGTTACCGACCGCGGGATGCTCGGAGTCCACGTCTTTTAACGTGTGTGAATTTTCGGTTACCGTTTCGACATAAGCTACCATATTCCATAGTTTGTTACAGAATCGAAGTCCCTAAAATGGCGAATTTCATCGGGCTCAAGAGCTTTCGGATAGTCTTCGCCGTTAAGCCTTTCTGGGATGCACTCCACTTCTATTCAAAATCATAGTGACTAATTTAATCGC